AAAAAAAAAAAAAAAAAAAAAGTTTGACCAGTTTGATATTTTCCCCTGAAATTGAGCTTAAAATTCTCCGTAGCCATGACTCTTTCCTTTAATGTCGTTGTTCTTCTCACATAGCCGAGAAACTTGAACTGAACAATGATTGTGCCCTTACAGGTTGCAATGGTGAAGCCAACTTTTGACGGGTCAGCCAAATTATTGCCGCGGGTCATAGGTTTAAATACATGTACCGGTATTAAGAATTATATGACTTTCACTGACCCAACATAATGCTAAATTTTTCACGAAAAAATATAACTGACCGATGATCAGAAAAAAAAGGTTGCAAACCACTGCTCTAAATCTTAGTCTTCTCATTGTAAATCATATATATGTATATGTATCAAAATTGGTATACATAGTATTTATTATATATGTATGTAATATTCATTTTAATCATGAATACCAAATGAATACTTTAAAGCATCTCAAGATCACATTTTGGAAGTCCTTTAGCTAATATGAGACATCCTCTTCCAAAAATAGTAAAAAACATTGACAATCTTAAATGACAAAAAAATTAATAGAAATTTAAAGAGATCTATGTGTACAAACTGATATTTGCTAAACTTTGTGATTGTAACTTACTGTTAAAAATTTGCAATAATATTTAAGTATTTCAGTAACCAAATACCTGAGATATGCTACTTGAAACAAGTGAATTGGAAATGAAAGTGTCTGTGACAAAATTGAATAATTCTACTTCATATAACAAACGGATATTGTTGTTGTTCATTTAATGTGTGTCCATTACAGCAAATGGTCAATGCTAAAGTTATTATATGTGCAGTCCAATTACTAAGACAATTATAACTAGGACTTCTCAATGTCAAGTCTCCTGCCGTGTACAATGCATATTATACACTTTTAAGTTTGTGTTTTATACAAGTGAATTTTTCTTCATTTATCTTCTAAGTGCATCTAATGTCATAAGGTCTCCTGCTACGCATACTTTACAATTTAATGTTTTTTATTGTATAAACAAATATTTTTTTTCAGTCACATGTGAGTGTAACAAAAAAAAAGATGGCATTTATCATTCACAAGAAAATTTCATAGCAAATACGAGCTGTTTACATTTTGTAACCACTTTATGTTTTTTAACTATTGTGATATATACAAAGTCTTGCATTATACCAAGTGTTCAATACTTTTTCACTAAGTGGTAAAAGCCACAGAGTAACACTCACGGTAATCATAGGAGTTGTCAGAAGTCCCCAAGCAAAGAATTCAAGAAAAATGACTACGACAGCATGATATACACTTGGTTCTCCTATTCCAGAAGTCTGAAAAAATACAGCAACCTATTACTGCATCACTGCTCAAAAGATGTCAAAACTAAATTTATACAAATATAAAACTATTCAACGGAATAAATTTAATTTTATATTTCTACAAACTAATTCCAAGTTTTAGTAAGATAGCAAGTATTTTCTTGTTGAAATCTTTTTTGACAAAATATGTTCAATTAGATAAATGAAAGATATTTTTTTTTCTCATGATCTTTCAAAGATTTATTACATAGAAGCTGAAAGTTTATTTTAAGGACCTGTTTGAGTAAGACTGGATTGGTGAAAGCAAATGAATGAAAATGTCATTCTTATCACAAAGTTGATAGAAATATATTTTTTTTTTTGCTTACCATGCTTTGATTCATTACTGTCACTTGCCTGCTTTCATTGTTGCCAGTTCTTTGAAGCTTATTCTTTCTACAATAGCTGATGTTGTCTGTGATTGTTTCTGATTTATCTGCAATTCTTAATTATCTGCTGAGTCAAGTTCTTTTCTTATGTCTGTTTACCAGAGCTTGCAAACTAAATGATGTATCAATTCCAATTTTAAGAAACGTAATAAGGGTTAATAAGAAAGTTTGAGCTTGGCTGGTTAAGAAGAAGATACCTGTCAATTTACTGGTCAAATAATGACAAATATTTTATTCACGACTTGTTTTTCATCTTAACTGTTTTAAGGTAAGTAATGCTAATTTGATCAAAATTAAAAATGCAAGTTTATGGTTTGTCTCCAGCCTTCCAATGACAACAAAGCTGGTGCTGCATATAGAACCACATATTGACATTGTATATCGTAAATATGTGATATTGCCAGTAATTACACAAGTGACTATCTGCATTTTCAATAACATGCTACTATTATGAAGTTATATTACAAGTTTAAAAGAACCATAGCTGTTGGATACATAAAATTGAAGGACATTATAACACAGCATAGTACAACATCAATCAGCTATTAAGGTTTCAGTGGGTAAAGAGCAGAGACCCATTAAACTCATCATTATGTGTGTGTGTCTATACAGTAATTAAAAAATGCATAAGGTAAGAAATATTAGGCTACAAAACAATAAGTACAGTTTCTTATTGTATGGATTGAATACTAAATCATTTTGAAGTCCATTAGCAGGGGTGTCATTTGAAGACTCATCTTATAAGCAGATGGGTGACTTTTGAGATTAAAAAACTAATCGGAAACCTTAGCTACTATTTTTGGTATCTGACAGAAGTTTTAGATTATTCGGCTGTATTTGACTAGTAAAAAAAATAAGCATTTAATTGACCAACTTACCAACCCTGGTTTTTCTAAATTTCAAAATTAAGGTAAGATGACAATCTTTATTTTGTTTTATTGTCAATTTTTAAGTGTGCTATAACTTATCCCTTAGCAACCACTCTCAGTTACAAAACATTTCATAAAAATGTGAATACTCTTATTTTTCTCTCTGTAAAAGTACTTGTACATGGTAAAACATTTCCAGCATGCAATTGCATACATATATTTATACAACATGAAAATAATCTCAGTAATGTTTCATACCGAGTAGCTAGAGCATTACACTTAACTTTGCTACAAAGCCAAATCTAGCTAGTGACCACATCAAGACGGCCAATGAGTTATTAACATGAAGTAGATCACATTATGTGCACTTAATCTGAGATTTTTGTCTATTGTGGATGGATTCTACATAGCCTAAAGCTTTAAAGATAAACAGATAATGTGAAACTAGGTTTTTCATGCAGCTTATAAGTCTTAATTCCAGCATCACTTTGTACCAGTGGATATGAAAAAAAATAAAAACACTGAAAACAGAACTCTAACAAACTTATTCTGCTTCAAAAATGAACTTACAATGAAACCATCATTCATTATGTTCTTTCTGCTTCTAATGAGGAGGCCAGTGACTTTTCTTGACATTTTCCTTGGCATCTTAATTTATGACCTCAGGGTCTCAGTCACTGTAAATGTTATTTTTTCTGTACAAATAAATCTGAAACCATGTGAAAGTAGTTTAATCATACTCCATTGACTGAAAGTTATATTCTGATAACATCATTAACAATTTGGTCTTCTGAAAAATATAAGAAGGAGATCATGATAACCCATGCTTAGGAAATAACAAATACGTACATGTAAAAATCTATATGTTATAACAATAACATAAAGTAGTTGATATTATTTTTACAAAAGTTTCTGAAAGAGTTGATAAATTCTTAGGGATCAGGACTGAATCTAGTGACTAGTTATTTGTTTGTTGAGGGAGACTGGTTACATCAGGATGTCCCCGATGAGCCAAAAGGGTCATTAGATGTTCCTTAATTCATGAAAAAAAAACATTAAAATATATGTTAAATTTTCTTTAATACTATATGTAAAATCTGTTGTATAATGCCCATGACCCCCCCCCCCCAAATCTATATTTACTAACAATGGTACTACAGACCAGACCTTTTTTTAAAATTATTTGAAAATTCATTCAGAGCTCTATATCAAATCATTTTAAATTTTTAATGGCAAAACACACAGTTGCCTACTGCACATTTAGAAATTAAGCTCAGATAATTAAAAACATAAAGGTGATTTTAAATTAAGCTTAAATATTTAAAAACATAAAGGTGACTTTGGGGTTGTAAAAAATGTATCCCATGAATGCATGGGTAACCAAAAATTTAATATTTTTCTATTACAGGCAACAAATTGCATATACACACACACAGTGTCCACTCACTACAATCCAGATAGTTTGTTCCCAATCCTTACTTGTTTAAAGCTAGTCTCAGCAATACTCAGCTGACTATTTAGATAAACTGCCACCATATACTCGAGAAAAACTGACAAGAGAAAGCAAAGAACTTTGACTGACAATTGACATAACATGTGAACGTTTAAGAATCTCTGCCACTATGTCCAGCAGCAGGCTCACCCAATTTTTTGAGGAATTGAAACCAGTATTACAACATTTATCAAAATAGTTTAAAATGAAGCTTTGGGTCTCAGGGTAAAGGACGTGGATGATGCCACACCAGAAAACCCTTGTAACACGAGTAATGATGTACACTTATCTCCCTGCTTTAGCCTACATGTGTATAAAAAAAAAACTAATTTTGACCCAAAAATCACACTTGCATTTATCACTTCTTAAAAGGTAAAACATTAGGTATGTCAGTAATCGAATCATTTTTTGGAAAACGTAACTTAATGATACAGCAAAACCCGAACTTGATAATAGAAAGTATTAAATAAACATTTCAAAATCATCATAATTCCATCATCAGTAACCTAGAGGTACAAAACATAAGATATTTCTGTTGCAATTACAAATATTGTTTGTTTGTTTTGTACCTCTAGATTAATGATGATGGAATTTTGATGATTACAAAATGTTTAATAAATGCTTCCTATTATCACGTTCATGTTTTGCTTTATAATCAGATACATTATTATATAGACAACTGTTTCAATTCCTGACTAATTCACATTTAGCCTTTTGTGATGTATATGACAATGAAACACAGCTTTTAGGATTATATTAATATCCATGATCAGTGATGTAATGTTTCAGTAAAATTACTGTACAACTTTTAAGTTCACAAACCAGAACAATATATTCTTCCAAATCATTATCTTATACATCTTTAATAATGCTTTACATGTCACAAACAACTCATACTTATTAATTTGTCTATAGGCAAATGCCAGCATTGAAATGCATCTACAAATGTCTGTCAAATGATACTTCAGAAACCTTTTCAAATTTATTTAAATTAGATATTTAATAAAATGAAAAAGTAAGAATTCACAAATATAACTACATATCTATTGGAATGTATGAGATTACTTCTGAGGGTTGCTGTGTGGAATTGACACGAAGGGTAGCTGATGTTATGAATTTCTCAGTTCTGTAAAGGCATGTTGAGAGTATCTACTACTACTCTGCTTCTAAAGGTGGTGAATATAGACAAGTAAGACTTAAAATGTTTACAGGACACGACTGATGTAGCCAATTTTGTGATTTCATAGACAATACTTCAGCATTGTGGGTCCAAATCCATGGCTGTACTTTTTTCATCCATTAGCCAGCCAATGGCATCGTATAGTAATAGATAAAGAAATTATTTCTGTGCATGAAGATTTGTCTCACTGGTTGAAAAGTATTCTCCATCAAGTTTTTTGATGAAAGACATAAGGTGGTCCAAATTACCAACTACATGATGATCAGACACAGGCTGAACATTCTCATCATATGATTATCTGTTGATTCCTTCTGAACAGTTGTTAATTTCTATGCCAGTTGATTAGCCATGACAATACTTCATCTACTGAAATTTCACTCGTGTAGATACGATCAGAGCCACCCTACTGTAGAATAAATACCAACGTTGGCTTTCATTCAATGTTGTGATGTTTATGTAGTGTAGTTCTCCACACATGCTTCTTCTAGAAGTTTCCAGAAATGTATGAAGCGTGTTCAGTATAAAAACCTGCTGGGCTGGCTCTTTTTTCCATAAGGTTACCACATTCTTCTGTAAATAACTTTCCTTCTGCAAAGTCTTCCCAGCTGCCGTAACATTTCTTTGGGTTGATGAATGAAAAATAAGTTTTTATTTCTGTGATACCCTGCCTCCACACTTCTGCTAAGTCACCATTAGTGACACTTTTAGCATCTATGATAAAGAAAAGTAACATTACCATCTAAGATATCCTGCTCATTTTTCAAAATTTGGTTGGCACATCAGCAAGTCCTTCCCTGCATACTGAGATAAACTGATCAGTTTGGTCACATCAGACATAAGGGCAAGGGATCTGGCAAATGTCTGTGATGGAAAATACATGAATTCTTTTCAGATTTGGTTTACATATCTTCTGAGAGAGAACAACATCAAATTAAGAAGCTATTCTGTAGTCTGAGGGAAGTCAACTCAGCAACCAGGTTCTATACCTTTAAAGTTATAAAGGTGACCAGAAGAGCTTTTGCTTAACACTCAGCAAGCTAAAGTTATGCAAAGAAAGGACCTTAAAATTATTAATGACAATTAGTTCTTCACATTTAAGTATATATTCCTCCAACTGATATTGTCTGACAGACCATTATCACACTTAACCATTTTTGTAACAATAAATGGGAGAAAAATAATTGCAACTATGACAAGAGTCAAAATATTTGGTAGCAAAGTATTTTATTTTTATTACTGGTAAATATTTTTGTAAAACTAATTCAATAAGTTTCTTGCTTTGTGCAATATGAGTTTACATACTGTTTCCTAGACATTACTTATTTGTAGTAATATAAACAATGTGACACTATTATCAGCTGCCTCTGTATTAAGCAATAGTTTAACAGATTTGAAGAAAAATTTTAGTCAAAACATTCATATCTGGGTGCAAAAGGAGTTTAAAATGAAGCTTGACTTGTCTCTATATTCAAACAAAGACATGGATTTGAATATTTAAGGTATCTTCATTTGAAACTGAAGCTTTGTTTCAAAAATTGCTTAGGTTTTATGCAATGGCATCATCAAGAATCACAATATAGACTTTGTTGTTTAATCTGATGTATAAACTATAATAGCTTATGCTAATTAAAGTTTAAGTTGCTCCAAAAATATGGCCATTTTCTGACCTCTGCTGCTGGACTTTGGAGGCAAATGTTTTGAATAACATACATACTATTTTGAATTAATACTGATATATGCCTCCAAATGAAGTATTACATATTTTTCAAAAATATTTATATTCTTTAGGTATTTGATTAATGTGTGATACTCACTGCCATTAGGCAAATTCCATTATGCATAGTAAAACAACAATAAACTGATGTAATGATGCAAGGTAAAGATGCTAATATCTATTTCAATTTTTTAAAACGTTATTGTTACTGCAAACAGCAATGCTTATTAGTATTAGTAACGATGTTACTGTTAGTGAGATTACTAATACTACAGTGTACTAATACAATAGTAGTCTTAATATATTAATTATTATATACTATAGTAACTAAAATGCTATTAGTATTAGTAATAACCATTTTTTATTAATGCTAGTAATAGTAATCACTATACCACAAGTAATACCATAGACTATAGTAAATATATTTCTAATTAAACTTGTTACGTTATGGTTAAATTAGCTCTACTATTACTTATTAGTAGTAGTAATATGGATAATATTACCAATTTTATCAGTATCACTGCATTAGCTTGCTAGTACTAGTAATACTACTATTACTATTAGTAATGGTACTTACTAAGTAATTACACTGTTATTATTAAATGAAAAAGTAAACCAAAAATAAAAGCTTAGAGTTAAAGTACATTTTGAATAAGATAAAATACAAAACTCAGAAATTTTATAGATAGCCAAACCTAAAAAAGATGACACAATAACCTTAACGCCGAGGTTTAGGTTCCCTTCTTTACAAATTCATACATATATAGCATAACGTTTCGTCAAGTTTCATCTATTGACTTAATCTAGTTAATTGTTGTGTTGTCTGACGTCATAAATTATATAATTCCACTAGGTAGCCCTGCATTTACAAGTAAATTTAAAAATAGAAAATGCAATCTAAAAATGCTCCAAAAATCGAAGGTTAATATTGATTTAAAAACCCTAAACATCTTACCTTTATTATGTTATAAAATAAACATAATTTACCTCGACACATTTTTTCTTAATAATTTGAAGTTTGCATTAAATACATATTACTCACCAATCACAAAATAATTCTATTGATTTATATAAAATTATTTGATATCGGGGTTGAAATAAGTTAAGAAAGACGACTTTTTTATTAACAATGAAAACTATTTTTAAAATATTATCATACAACCTAAATCTTAACTTTAATTATCTTGAGTATAAGAATTTATTTAATCCGACAAGATTGTATTAATTGGGTTCTTTGCGGCAGGCCTACAATGTCAGTATTTTCAGTTAGAGGTTACCAACGTATGGAAATTCAATGGTTAACGGAACTTTTACTAGTTGGAGCAGAAAAAATATTTAGTTCAGGGTTAACACGGCCTCCCCAAATGATTGGTTCCGTTATATGGATATTGAAAACGGGGGGGGGGGGGGAGGAAATATTAAAAATCCCACATATACATAAATTGTTTTACATGCTAGTTTTTTATATTGGAAGTATTTTATAAATTATTCTTTACTTCTTTGAGCATTGTTTATTTACGTTATTAACTAATAACATACATCAATTAATTAATTTAAAACTGATTTCTATCTATGGAAAGGAGCTTAATCTCAGACTCCTGGGAGTAGAGAGCCCAGGGAAATACATATTACAAAACAATATGGCAAAAAAAGAAAAGAACTGGAATATAGATTTCGCAATGCTATGGTATAATACACAGTACGTTCTAGTCACATATAGCTCAAATATTTAATTATCGAAAGTTCAAGTTCTATTACGATTACTATTCAAAAATAGCAGTAAAAATGATATGACATTTGCTATTGATGTATTTACTAACTTCAGTTTACAGCAAGAATTTTTAAAGTGGTCAGTCTATTTAACATTTTCTGTGAAATCACTCGTCTGAATTAAAATTTCTAACTTTTATCAATAAGCAAGTGAAACTTGTGTGATATGTAGGTGAACCACGTGTTTTCTATTTTATTATTTTAATGTATAATTGATAAAAGTTTTCGTTTGTTGTAGGTATGTACAGTTTTCACACAACAACTGGTCAAAAAGTTAAGTTCGTTTTCTATTATATACCTTTGTTCTTTGTCATTCCCTTTGGGACAATACCTGGTTTGCCTATTGGAGATATAGCTATAAAGCTGTGCATTATGTATAAAGGTCCAGGGCAATGTCCTTCAATAAGACAGGTGATATCTCAAGGTTACAATTTCCGCCTATAGATTGAGAATGGTCAATCACGTGAGGTAACGATAGTTGCTCTGGGTAAGTCTGGCGTTAGTCATTCGACTGAACAATTAGAGATTTATTCAGTTTGGATCATCATCTCTAGTGAGTTGGTCAGATCACATTGTATGCTTCCAGTTTGCTCTAAGTACCGCTGAAGCTGTGCTTATCTGTTTGTATCTGAAATAAATTTTTTTTTACACTATTGTCATTTGTAATAGGACACATTTTGTAATGTCCTTTAGATGATATAGTTGAAGATGGATAAACGGTTGTCACTGTTGATCGAATCAATCAATTGGGACACAGTTCAACGTTTGTTACATTTTACTCCTCCGTCCATTTAGTAGTTAGTGGCTAAAGTTATTCCTAGTGATAGACCTATTCGTTTTTAATTGACACTGTTGATAAAAATGGAAGACAGCTGGTCAAAGAAATGATTCTCTGTTAATAAAGCTCCTGCTAGGCAGATGCTTACTATTGTCTTTTTAAAAGTCAGAAAGTTATTTGCAGACTACTCATGATATGGGAACATGTTTGCATTTTTAAAGCTCAAGCGATTGTCATAGATTTCACACGGTCAGTCTATTTTAAATAAATAAACAAGTGGAATGTTTCATAAAGTTCCCAGATGCGTGTGTGTGTGTGAGTCCTAATAAAAGAGTCAGTCAGTGTATGTTGTACGTGTGTATTAATGACGTACGTAAGTTTACAAAAACCATGGTATAAGAAGAGTTTACTCCCCCCTATTTGAACAATACCAATGTTATGTAAGTAAAGGGTACTTTAAATTATAATATAAATAACATAAAACGTTTCTGATTATTTCTTGAGATATTATGGTAGATGTATGTATGCAGATCTTAACTTTTTACTCGTATGGGCCTTAAAGATTGTAGTACCAACCCTGTTCATGGGTGGGTCTTCGACGAACTGAAACAGTTTATCATTCAAACTTCTGGGTCCCAAAAGTGTTAATTTCGACTGTCTTAGAAGTAGGCCTATTGCGAATTGAGACCAAGTTTGTTTGTTTGTTTGGAATTAAGCACAAAGCTACACAATGGGCTATCTGTGCTCTGCCCACCACGGGTATCGAAACCCGGATTCTAGCATTGTAAGTCCGAAGACATACCGCTGTGCCACTGGTGGGCTTGAGACCAAGTATCACCAGATGTGCTCCCGGGCATAAAAAGTATTAATTAATTTAATATACGTCGAAGTGGACTTTTCTTCATGAATTGAGTTCCTTGGACTCTGGAACAGCTGCCCCACTTGTATGTACACCGATGGTGTATATGCAAAAAAAGTGTCTCATATTTGACATATGTTCTTATTTATCTTACCGATACGAGTCTACGT